AGCAAGCAACCTCTCCCCAGTATAACTCAGGAGCTGAACTCTCATTCAAGAGTGTCTTCGTGATATCGGTCTCGATATCGAGTGCAACCGCCTTGCAACCAGTGGGAAGAATATGATGCACACGCGGTGGGCATACAGTATGGCGGGCGAGGAATTCGCACGCATTCACGCTTGGGGCCACGACCCGAAGCGCAAGGTACGAGGAAATGCATCAACGGAACTGGGGATGAAAATACTCACAAGAATTTCTCTCAGGGCGACTATGAGGCTGCTAGCCCTTGCGATCCTGTCGATCTCCCCCAAACCCTCCTAGAGCCGATCCTCGTTCGGTATGCCACTCTCAACGGCTTTACCTGCCGCTTTGATACCACCTTCGTCGATTTTACGCAAGATCAAGACGGCACGACATCGACACTACAAGACAATATTACTGGGGTGAAATACAAAGTCCGGTCGAAATATTTGTTTGGCGCGGACGGGGCTAGGAGTGAAGTGTTTCGGCAGGCCGAGCTTCCTCTAGACGTCCGACCTGATCAGGGCCTCGCCTTTAATGTTCATCTGAAGGCAGATCTCTCACATTATATGCAGTACCGCACTGGATGTCTGCACTGGCTTCTCCAGCCGGATAGAGAGCATCCGCTCTTTGGTTGGGCATGTATTGCGAGAATGGTCAAGCCATGGGATGAATGGCTGTTTATCGTTCTTCCTGAACGGGGAAAAGAGTTGGAGTGCAACCCTACGAATGAAGAGTGGCTCACTCGAATGAAAGAGTTTATCGGCGACGATTCGATTCATACAGAAATTCTTGGAGTCTCCAAATGGCGAATCAACGACGTCGTGGCAGAGAAATTCTCCAACGGCAGAGTGTTTGTCTCCCCCATTTCACTTCTCTGCAAGTCACTAATCTGTCTGCAGCTTTTGCCTCGGTGACGCGGTACACAGACACCCACCTTCCAACGGGCTGGGCTCGAATACTTGCATTCAGGATGCTTACAATCTTGCCTGGAAAGTCGCTTATGTTTTGAAAGGTTGGTTCATCATCAATTTTTTGAATGAAAAGATGCCAAATTAACTCTTGTATTGCAGGTCAAGCATCTCCGTCTATTCTTGAGACTTACTCCACAGAGCGCCAGCCTGTCGGTCGTGGAGTTGTCACCCGTGCGAACCAATCCTTCCGCCATCACGGCCCAGTGTGGGAAGCACTTGGGGTTTCATTGCCTACCACCGAGGAGCGTAAAAGTGCGCTGGATGAGTTGACGCACGCAACGCCTAACGGTCGCTCCCGTAGAGCTGCTCTGCAGTCTGCCATCGAAGAAACCGAGCATGAGTACCACGCACTTGGAACGGAAATGGGGCAGTTCTATGAAAGCTCCGCGGTGCACTCAGCAGACGAAAAGGCTTCTTTCTTTACCCCCGAAGTGGTGGCACAGGATCCAGATCTTGTTTTAACTCGGAGCACCTATCCTGGCTGCCGTGTGCCCCATGTTTGGCTCAATAATGCTACGCCGGTTCAGCGTATTTCCAGCATCGACTTGGCTGGTGGCGGTGCTTATACAATCTACACCGGAATTGGAGGTGAAGCATGGAAATTTGCAGCAACTCAAGTTGGTTCTGAGCTGGGCATCACAGTCAATTGTTATTCAATTGGGTTCCGCCAGGACTATGAAGATGTCTACTTTGATTGGGCTCGTGTCCGCGGTGTTGATGAAACCGGATGTGTTCTTGTTCGACCAGATCGTTTTGTTTCCTGGCGGTGCAATGAAGTACTTAGCGATGATGCTCGGTGTGTAGCAAAGCTACGGGAGGTTATGCTGAGCGTTCACGGCTACACATCTGCGACTCGATAGCCTTGATATCAACCTATGCTCGGTAGAAGGTCGATAACTATTGGAACCTTAGGCGTCTAAGTCCTTGGTGTCGACTTGCCACTGTTGTACAATAATGAAACAATTTGACATCTTAGCTAGAATATAAGACCATAGATTGGTTCTCTCAACCTCTTACCAAGACTAGAGGATCCCGGCTCCGAGCCGAGCCGAGTGACTGGCCGAGAATTCCTTAGGTGGACCGGCTTCTTCTGTCAGACCCACATCTCTCTGAAAATCCCTTCTCGGCCAACGTTTGGAACGGGTAAAACTTTTTGACTAATGATTGATAATGGTTCCTGAGCCACACCATGTGGCAATTTTCAAATAGCGGCTTCTATCTTTGGGCCAATCTGCCGGGTTTTCTAAAGGCTTACCCCATGATGTAAACCTTTCGTAGACTTAAACCATCACTTGTAACCACCATCATAAGGGAAAGAACGCCCAATCCCAGCCATGGGAGTCGAAGATCATGACCTGAAGCCGGTGCAATCCACAAAGTCGATCGCGGAGAGTTTCTCCCCTCTTCGCGAGACGCTGTTTGTCACACTGGTGTGCATGGCACAGTTCATGACACAAACTAATGTCGGCGTTTGTCTTCCAAGTCTCGATATTCTTGGAGAAAGCTTCGGGATCGATGATCCTGGTATCCTAAGTTGGATTCTAGCAGGTTACTCGTTGACGGTCGGTACCTTCATCATTATTTTCGGACGATGTGGTGATCTTTTCGGATATCGCCGAATGTTCCTCATCGGATTCATATGGCTCGCAGTCTGGTCGCTGGTCGCCGGAGTCAGTGTTTATTCAAATTATATTCTTTTCATCATTGCGCGTGTGCTACAAGGCATCGGTAGTGCGATGTTATTGCCCAATGGCCTGGCTATTTTGGGTGCCACTTATCCACCCGGGAAGAAAAAGGCCATGATATTCGCGCTATTCGGCGCCGTCGCTCCCAACAGCGCTCTTCTTGGGGCCATCTTTGGAGCTGTCTTCTCACAGCTCGCCTGGTGGCCGTGGACATTCTGGACTCAAGCCATCGTATCAGTTTTTTGCGCTATTTTGGGATTCATTGTTGTGCCCTCGATTCATCATGAAGGCCAGGAGAAAATCAGTTCTTTTTCTCATCTTCTCAAGGCACTCGACGCGATGGGAGCGGCCTGTGGTATTAGTGGGCTAGTTCTGGTGAACATCTCCTGGAATCAAGCACCCGTCGCCGGCTGGAGCACACCATATGTCTATGTGCTCTTAATTCTCGGAATCCTGTTACTTGCCGCATTTTTTGTTGTCGAATTTCGGTTTGCTGAGCACCCTCTTATTCCATTTCAGGCTTTCAGTCGCGACGTTTCATTTGTTCTGGGCTGCGTTGCTTGTGGTTGGGGCGCCTTCGGCACCTGGATTTGGTATTTCTGGCGTTTTGAAATGGAGTTTCGGAAGACGAGTCCGCTCCTAGCGTCTGCCCAGTTTATCCCAGTCTCTCCAATGGGCATTGCTGCTTGTTTCGTGACAGGGTTTTTGATAGCCCGATTGCGCCCAGGGTGGATTATGATCATGTCGATGACCGCATTCACGCTGGGAAATATCCTCACAGCCATCGCGCCAGTGGATCAGACTTACTGGGCTTTGACATTTGTCTGCCTCCTAGTCATTCCCTGGGGAATGGATATGTCTTTTCCTGCGGCGACATTGATGCTGTCCAACTCCGTGGAAAGAAAACACCAGGGAATCGCTGCATCACTTGTGACGACTGTCGTCAACTACAGTATATCATTAAGCCTTGGTTTTGCAGGCACCGTGGAAACGCATGTCAACAATGGGGGAACCACCCCCCGAGGACGTCCTGAAGGGCTACCGTGGAGCACTGTACTTTTCAACCGGGCTCGGGGGTTTAGGCATTTTCCTCAGCGTGATCTTCACGATGAAGTGTTATTGGGAGGAGAGTCGGTCAAAGAAAGGAGAGAAGACGGAAGATTCGGAAGATTCGGAAGGAAATCTCTCGTCTGAGCCGTAACCTTCCAAGATTAGACCATTCAAAGGCATTCTCTTATGCTTACCTCTTATTAAAGTGGCCTATTAGCTTATTATCCTGCCGGTTAACGCACTAATCAGATTCAAATATGGAGCACCTAGAAAGGGAAACATGTCAGGTGCCATCAAAGTTGAACCAATGGAATTTTCTTCTGAACTGGTCGGATAAAAGGGCCATGGAAAACGCACAGTGCGCCCACTTGCCATAAGCCAACATGCCATCATTCCACGTTTAGACTTTTCCCAGCTATCCTTTAGGTTCATCCACCCAGGGACTCAGGCCTCCTCTACCTTGGGAACCTCCCTGTTATCGATCAGATAATCATACGAGGTCATTCTAATCTCGTTCGAATTTGCCAGCTGCGAAATTTCCCGACTCGAAACCCCCAAGTGTAGTGGGAAACCCACGGACGAGACAAAAAAAGGCGGAGTATCAGAGCCATCTAGCCCAGCGTCATTGTCCACATCCTCCCACAATCCACGGTGTGATTCAGAAGTACGGAGTACATATGACATCCTGAATGCACGTGCATGCTGCGAGATTGACATTGGTGATTTCCCATGGGACCGTCAACCGCGGCAGTTGCGGGGACTGCGAGAAACGGAAAATAAAAGCTTTTTTTTTTTTCACTGGGCCCAGTGTGCATCCAATCCCTGCCTGCCGTCCCTATCTATTTGGCGTAGGATATCTCGTAGATCGTGATTTAAGAGAAGACTCGGATCTTCCAACCCGTTACTCTTTGCTTTTTTCTTGTCTCAATCTTGCTGTCCCTCCCAACAAGAATGGACATTTCACCCGAGATGCTGAAAATAAAGCAGCAGGCGCCAGTCTCCGTATGGCTCCGCAAGTAGAAGATAAAGTTTTTCTGGAGAAAAAAACACGAGGCGAGAATCTGCGATCGTCGGGCTTTGATCAGATACCGGTTGGCGGGGCCACGCTAGTATTTTTCAGTTTTGGCAACCGTGGGAACTTTCAACTTTCACTTCGAGCACGGGCCTTATCAATCAGTTACTTCCCCTCGTATCTTCTTTTTTTTCTCGTCCTATCCTTCTTCGTCATTCCAAGCAGTCCAATCTTCTGAAGAGGACAGCGTTACCCCAGGTCCCAAGATGGCGGGTAACAATCCAGTCTTTGCTGTCACCGGTGAGTTCTATCTTAATGCTGCCATAAACTGCATCTTGTTATCAAGGGATAATGTCTAACTCGAAGCGACCGCGCAGTCTTCTTCATTTGCTTTCGAGAATGTCTCGAGACAACCGTCGTTGTCTCAGTTCTGCTCGCCTTCTTGAAGCAAACATTGGGAGGTGAAGAAGATAAAACCACTTACAAAAGGCTTGTCAAACAAGTCTGGCTAGGATGTGGTATAGGTCTACTCATCTGTCTCGCTGTGGGTTGCGGTATGATTGGTGCTTTCTATGGCCTCGGAACCAATAGCTTTTCACAGACGGAAGACATCTGGGAAGGCGTGCTCGGAATTCTTGCCTCTGTGATTATCACTATCATGGGCGCGGCGTTGCTTCGCGTTTCTAAGCTGCAGGACAAATGGCGCGTCAAGCTTGCAAAGGCTCTTGCACCTGAAAGCGATGAGCCTAATCTAACGCGCAAGGGTCGTTTCAAGCGCTGGCTAGAGAAATACGCCATGTTCACACTTCCTTTTATCACCGTCTTGCGCGAGGGCCTGGAAGCCGTTGTCTACGTTGGTGGTGTTGGCCTTGCGCTTCCAGCATCTTCTTTCCCGCTGGCTGTGTTCTGCGGTCTGGCAGCCGGTGCTTTTATCGGTTATCTGATCTATAGGTAAGTCAAGAAGAAGCTCCAAATCCTCGCTGGCAAAACAAAACAAATGCTAATTCTTTCTCAAGGGGTGGACGAGAGACATCCATGCAGATCTTCCTTATCATCTCAACTTGTTTTCTTTACCTTGTCGCCGGTGGTCTATTCTCGCGCGGAATTTGGTTCTTCCAAAATAACACATGGAACAAGCTGGTTGGTGGTGATACCTCCGAGACCGGTTCCGGGGCAGGATCCTACGACATCCGACAGAGCGTCTGGCATGTCAATTGCTGCAATCCCCAACTGGGCGGTGGTGGTGGATGGGGTATCTTCAATGCGCTGCTGGGTTGGACCAACTCGGCTACTCTTGGATCGGTGATCGGATACAACCTATACTGGATTTGCGTGATGGTCGCTTATGCCTGCATGATGTATCGCGAGCGTCGGGGTCATCTACCATACATTGACCCTGCTATGCAAAAGATAGCAGGCGCCAAAGCTCGAGGCAAAGCATTCGTCCTCCGACGACCTTACGAGCCTTACACGGACGACGTTGAACCTGCCGTAGCCAGTGGGGCTGTTTCTAGCAGCATCTTGGCTCGAGAGAAGAATGCGGATGCAGAGGTTTCCACCACTGCAAAGCAAGTCGAGGCTTGAAAAGCCACGAGATGTCCAAAATGACAATCTTGGTGGATTGTTGCATCTAAAGTAGTGATCATTCCGAGTGAAGATCATATTTTCCTAGTACATAATGTGCAATAATATTGCGAAACACGCTAGCTATCCTATCCCAGTAAAAAGAAAAGAGAGCAGAGAGCAGAGACTTCTAAGAGCACCAAAGCAGATAGATTAAACGAATTCTAGTACAAGCTTAAACGAGATGCAAAAACGTGTAATTTATCCACAGCACCGAACAGGCAGGTGGCTAGCGTACGAACTGGGGAGGCTTAGCAAAGCTTAGCGGGGATTGGCCCCGTCCACGCGAAGGCTTGAAACTTGAACCCTTCATTGGATTCCCCCTTTTCCAATATACCATCCACCTCGTCCTGAGTTCCGTTGATCTTCATCGTGCCGCGTTCAAAAGGAAAAGGAAAAAATGGCAGAAATTCACTATCGACCCGTCTACACTCCCTCGCCTTACTCGGCACCTGTGGAATGTATGCCTATGCCCGCTCCACGGCAGCCCACACGGATCTGCATCCCTCCGGGCCAAAATGTATCCCGCAACACAAGCAGAGGACCCACTTCGTAGCTTGGGTCTGGTGGTCTGATCCCTCGGTTCCATACCTGTGCTCTTGTAATTTGCAGTTTACACTGTACCCCACTCATCCAAGGGTCAAACCTCGACGTGCGTACCATATGGCGCATAGGAGGGAACGGTAAGATCGATAATCTTATCGCCCGAAGTTTCCAGTCGCATGGGAATGCTAGACTTTTTTTTTTCTTTTGGGCGGCCGATTGATTTGATCTGATCTTATTTTTCCCCGGTTTGTTGCGTGGTCCTGCTGGCTCTTCTTCTCTTACTTCGCCCCCCTCCCCCTGCCCTCCTCACATCTGCCAAAATAAGAGCTCTCTTTGGCAATGGCGTCTTCGTTGGCAGGCCTTCTCCTCCGCGTTGCAACGCTACTATGTCTATTCCAGTGCATCCAGGCCAAAACAGTCACTTATGATTGGAATGTCACCTGGGTCACCGCCAACCCGGACGGTCTGATGGATCGCAAGGTCATCGGCGTCAATGGTAAATGGCCATTACCCGTGGTCGAAGTTGACAAGGGCGATCGCCTCGTGGTCAACATGTACAATGGTCTCGGTAACAAGGATACCTCAATTCATTGGCACGGCATGTTCCAAAACGGCACTAATGGGATGGACGGTGCGTCTATGGTGACTCAGTGTCCAGTTCCACCAGGCCAATCCTTCACATACAACTTCACCATCAATCAGAATGGCACATATTGGTACCACTGCCACACCAACAACTGCTACCCTGATGGTTATCGGCAAGCCCTCATTGTGCATGACAAGGATGCATACTTCAACGATATGTACACCAAGGAGTACACTCTGACGATGAGTGACTGGTACCATGAGCTCATTGAGGACATCAAATGGATCACTCTGACCAATCCCACTGGCGCGGAACCGATTCCCCAGGCCTTTCTTATCAACGATACAACATCTGCAAGCCTACCGGTGAAGCCAGGGGAGTCGTATCTCCTACGCTTAATCAACGTCGGTGCCTTTGTCGCTCAGTACTTTTATATTGAGGATCACACCTTCAAGATTGTTGAAATCGATGGTGTTTATACTGAGCCTACCGAAGTCAGCACCTTGTATATCGCTGTTGCGCAGCGGTACACCATTCTGGTAGAAGCCAAGAACTCCACAGACAAAAACTATCCTATCGTTATGGTCGCCGACTCACAGCTTCTCGATACGATCCCGTCTGATCTTCAGCTCAATGTCACTAGTTGGCTAGAGTATAACAAAACCGCCGACTTCCCTCAGGCAGTCATGAAAGTAGACCAATCCTCCTCATTGGACCCTGTCGATGATTTGAGTCTTGTGCCCTACGACCGCATGGAGCTGCTACCTGAGCCCGACATTACTATCGATGTGACAGTGATCATGCAAAACCTTGACGATGGTGCTGGCTACGCTTTCTTGAACAACATCTCTTTCACCAAGCCCAAAGTCCCAACACTTTACTCGGTGCTTTCGTCGGGAAATTACTCAGACAATGGCGAGATTTACGGCGAATTCACCCATCCGGCTGTCCTCAAAAAGAACCAGGTGGTCGAGATCATTCTCAACAACGGCGATACTGGCTCCCATCCGTTCCACTTGCATGGACATAACGTTCAGCTCATTGATCGCGCCCCTGCATATGGCGCACACTTCTATGACTATCTCAACGGAGACCCCGTGCCATACGACCCATCCACCAACGACTCTTTCCCTCAGTACCCTCCGCGCCGAGATACATTCATCCTTCCGCCCCAGGGCTACCTCGTGCTCCGATTTGTGGCTGATAACCCCGGTGTCTGGCTTTTCCATTGCCACATCGATTGGCACTTGTCCCAGGGTCTGGCCATGATCCTCGTTGAGGCACCAGAGCAACTCCAAGAACAAGAGAAAGTTTCATCGCAGGCTTATGATAATTGTCTAGCCGCCGGTGTACCCTATGAGGGCAATGCTGCCGCTAATACCGAAGATTGGCTGGATCTGTCCGGCCAGAATAGACAGGTTGACTGGCTCCCGGCTGGGTTCACCACTAAGGGTATCGTGGCAATGGTGTTTTCATGCGTATCTGCATTCCTTGGAATGGCATTCATCTCCTTCTATGGCGCCAGTGGTATTGAGGCGAAGAAGAAAGAGACTGCTATTGTCAATGAAGGATCGGCTTCTGCGTCAAGCTGATTTAGTTCACTTTCCTATTCTAATTTTTATGTACACATTTTGCCAATGTCAGAGACATTGATACATGCTAATACTACTATGTTCGATACCGCGGTGTCCATTTCGTCCACGATTCAACTCCACTCATTAGATACTCCAGGCCCCTCATGTATTTGATCATATCTGGTCGGAGGGGCGGGCTATTCTGGCTTATATCCTCCTCGGACTGTTTGAAGGCTAGCTCCAGTTCCCGGCAGTAAACGAGCATCATTCTCTTGCAAGCTGAGTATGATAAGCCCGTCTCTTTAGCGAGTATGAAGATTGCAGAGAATGGATGCGCTCCGTCAGTCTTGTTCTCTTGGTAGGTCTTCCATTCTTTTTCCCAGCTATAGACATCATTGAAAGTACCAATGAACCTAAAAGCGCAACTTTCAAGAGCAGAAGCCTGTTCAATTTCAGTTGGAGTTAGATGCAAATTCGCACCAAATCGAATAAGAGTCGGATAAAATCTTCAAGTTTATGAGGTCAGTGATTATCACTCGCCCCTTTTAAATATTCAACGCAGAATTTGACTCACGGTCTTCCCACGTCGACCTCTCTATATTTAAGATAGGGACCCAAATGTTTCACTGTCAGGCGATTCTCAGTTGTTTGGCCCTGAAGAAGGGTACAAAACCCCTCAACAACGTCATTCGCTAGCGACTCGTCGATGCTTCGCATAGAATTCAGTGTTTCATGTAGCATCCATTCCAAACATGACTCTTTATTGGGAGATGATTTTCCGCGTGCTATTGCCATTACTCGCTCTCGGTACTGCAGTAAGTTTGACATTTCCATTTTTTCAAGTTGGTCTAAACCACGGTCAGTAAGTCTAAGCAATAGTAGACCCGGGATTCTCACCATCGACCAGTAGAGCCAGGTAGTGCATCTTCCCCGTCAATTCAGCGCGATCGTCCAACATGAGTGGAAACCATTCACTCAGAGCACGAGAGAACCCCAGGGCAAAAAACCCTGCTTTCTCTCTCTCACTTTCAAATGTCCAGTTTTGCGCAAAATATGGTTCCACTCTCTTCTGAAGGACCTCCCATCCTAGTGGATGCGATTTCAGTTTCAGGCGGGTTGGGACGAAATCAACGGGCCAGTGTTGTGAGACACCGGAAGCTTTTGAGTACCGTCGGGGTAATATAGTGTACTTTCTAGAAAGAAAATTTGCTTCTGGGCCGTAGAGACATGCTCTAAATGCAGGGGTACCCCTGTTCAGAATGCGCTTTCCAAATACCCTTTGGAGTTGCCACATGGCATTGAAGATTCAGGTAATCCCTGAGCTTAATTCTCGCTTTTGGAGGAATTCCGCTGAATTAAATCTTTCAAATAGAAGCAGTCTGGAACTCCGGTCGAGAAGGCGTAATAGTCAAACTTCGGTCTGAGCAGGCAACGGTTTCCACCACGAAGGGGCACGGGCCACCCGACGGGTTGATGTCACCACCAACTTTCTTGGTTCAACAACATCATAACCTCCTCCCCATCACCCGAGATTTCTTCAAATTTTTAACGCCAGATTAATCCGAGAGTCTCATTCTCCAGCACTTGAAGCCGCTTCTATTTTATGCCCCACGCATCAAAAAACACATTGTCATCCGTTTACGCATACGCAAACGCAAACATTAAATCTGTTGACTCATTTGGATGCCACCGAAACCCGCCTTTCCCAGGTCTCTGAACAGACTGCAGACTATCTCTGGACAGCTCGGAACAAACAAGCCATATTCATCACTTGGAGCCCGCCCACAAATTCAGGCAACGCAGCATATCTCAACTCCATTAAAAATGACCACAACCGATAAATCGCCAGCTCCCTGGCGCGATCTGCTCAAGTCTCATATGGACCAAACCCCAGGCTACGAGTTCACCATTGCCACCGTGGGATTTGACGAGAATCAACGGCCAATCCCTCGTGTCCGTACTTGTGGCTACCGCGGCTTCTTCCCGGAACTTAAGCTCCACCCGAAATCACAGGAAGATATGGAGCAGCAGGTCAAGGATGGCGGTAACCCGGAAACATACGAGAGCGACATGCTATGCTTTACTACTGACATCCGGATGGAGAAGCTGGACCAACTCGAAACTTCCGGTCATGCAGTTGAAGCTGTGTTCTGGTTGAAAGATTTGATGACCCAATGGCGGGTCAAGGGGAAGGCATTTGCAATTGGGGATCCGAGAGGAGGGGATTTCGACGGAGAAAAAGACGCTCGCGAGGATCTCCACGCTTCTTTGAGGGTTAAGGAGAATTACGGGGGCTCTATCGGTGATTGGACTTGGGAACGAGCGGTTACAAAGTATTTTGCGAACCACTCGCCACTCGCCAGGGGTATGTTACTCTCATCGCTCCTCTCTGTTTGGGTTTCTCAATCGGTGTGCTTTTGAGATTTGTCGCTAATCTCAATCAGGCTCATTCAAATTTCCATCTCCCGGGCTACCTCGATCCCAAGCTCCTAATGATCCAGCTTTGAAAATGGGACAGATAGTGGCAGATTTACATGACCCCGTGGCTCGAGCAAATTTTAGGGTCGTGGTTATTCAACCAGAGGAGGTTGAGCGACTAGATATTTCAAACCAGGAAGACATGCGGAGATGGAAATGGACTCGAGGTAGCAATGAAGCTGAAAAGGAACAGTCTAACTGGATTGAGACAGAAGTATGGCCATGAAATCAAGTGACTTCAGAGATAAAGGGTATGAATCTGAGTGAATAGCCAATACTTCATCAAGCCCTGAACTAGTAAACCATCTCAAGATTGCTTAGTCGCCCGTTCGTAAACAGCACCAGTGAATGAAACTGTGGGCTCTCCTTTGAAGAATGCACCCACGCTCTCCATCTATTTTGTTTCCCCAACACCTCAGCCCATCGCACATCTTCAACGATCTACTACCCTAATCTTTGTCTAACTATGTTTCCCATAACGAGAAGTACAGGCAAGACCAATCCCACTTTTCCATCGCAACGCTCAAGTGATTAGAAACTAACCCAATTCCTAGCACCCAACGCTCCTGCCTACGACAAACCACGTTACGGTCCGACCTCCCTGAGGAAAACAGCGTGTGCCTCCTGTCGCCGTGGCAAGAAGAGATGCATGCATGATACAACCAGTTCCACCATCAGCGAAAGTGGAAATCCGGCCATGCCACTTCGAGCGTCTACCCCCAGCAAGACCCAGTCGGACATCAATGTGGAAAGCGCCAGTGGCATCAAGGTAAGTCAGCCTACATCTCCTACATTACATGAACAAACCTTGTAACTGGAAGGACTCGAGTGAGAAATTGATCTGGGCTAACAGTATCCTCCTTCTCCAGAAGGCCAAGGTCACCCGCTCCCCATCTGATATTGCGCCCGTGGAGGCCAGCGACAGTGACAACAACAAAGACAGGGAAAACGACAGGGACACAATAATTCCTGATGATCAGGGCATTGTGAGACCCCCCCTATACCCCTCAGTCAACTCCCACCCGGTCCTCTACTCGCATCGCTGCCCATCATCGCGATATATCTGCGTCTACAGATACAACCGGCTCCGACACTCTCTCATCGGTCCCAAATTACCCAAAAATCGATCGTACTCTATTCGACAAGCCGATGGCTTTGCTGGAGGAGGTCAATAAGAGAACCGTGAGTTTGGAGAAGGCCATCAATGAATTCGATCGAAAATGTCGGCAGTGGGAATCAACCGCCGAGCTTCGCGAGAAGCAGGAAAAGGAGAGAAAGAAGAAGGAAAATTAGAAGGTATTACTGGGTGGATAGTGCGGAATGGAAAAGCAAGATGTGTCTGGCTCACTGCTTTGAGCTTCTAGATTTCTCTTGCGCGGGGTATCTTTCAGATAGAATATCCGTCAGTGAAGAGACCTATTGTGGATAGGATCGATTTTCTGCAGTCACTCTATTTACGATTTAAGCATTCGGACAGAAAATTTAACAATCTCAGCTCCAGCTCAGACCTAATCTGCAAGAATGGATATGATTCAACCTGCTCCGTACTAGTATCTGCATTGAACCGATCCCACTGTCTTTCCATATAAGACAGCGCATGAACCGTTCAATACATTTATATGAGGATCGGATCATCATCAATTTGCTTCTTAAGATAGATACATCAAGAGAATACGATCGCATAGAGCCCTGCAATTATTCATCAGCGTTGGTATTTTAATTCGAACTGGCTCGGCATGCAAGTTCATGCAGTCACTCGGGGCTGGGAGTTCAACTTGTGACACAGGGGGGCTCAAACTATCGTGTGTCTTTACAGGTAGTTTATACACGCGTGCTGATTTTAAAGGGGTTCATTGATTTGAAAATCGGCGATTGCTCGGACCTGAAGCTATCGAGAATCACCGAGCAGTTGTTGCCGAAGCCGTAAAGGGGATGCGCCTATCCGGCTTCAGCTCGCTCGGAATCTTGTAGGCACACTTGTACTGTTCCGAAGCCAAATTCCCGAGCGTGCTGGCAGGAGTTCAAGTTGGAAAACGATATCTCGCATAGTTACCTTAAAATACTAAATATAATCATGTGACCGAAGCCTTACTAGAACTAATAAACCCCAGATAGTTCGAGATACTACATTCTCGACAAATACCAGTCATATCAGTAGCTAACACAGGAGTTCAAGTTAGTACTACTACATCGGTGACGGTTATCTCACGAAATATAAACCTCGAGTTTTCAGTTTTCAGCATCCTCCTTTCCTGTGCATATTTGATTTTCTGATACAAGTTGACATCGTTCGTGGATACGGAGTGGAAGGCAGATCTACAGAGAATGTAGGACAACCGAACAGAATACGAGGAGGCCAGTACGCTCCCGCAGAAGAACGGCCGCCGATGGCTAGCGATAGACCAATGATAGACGAGCATCGTGACGGCGGGGCCACCCGTCCAGCTCCTCCACGGGCAGTCCCGGCCTTCCGCGCTCAATCTACTCCATGTTTGTTAACTTAAGTTATAAGTATGGTTATTGTTATTACTTAAGTATGTACTATGTAACCGTACTTGAGCATAACATCCGTACAGAGTACTCCATACCTTCTGCTCCGTACTTCGTACTCTGTAAACGATCACCCTGGTAGCCCCCAAATGAAAATGAAAATCCAGAGCGACCGTTACGTGTCATGTCCCTCTTGGGAAAGGCGCCCGCCCCTGCTCGTCTCGTCCCATCCTTGTCTCCGACGTGCATTCAATTCCGAGGCTCGGCTGCATATGGTCGACCTCGCTACGGAGTAGGATTGCCACATTGCCGACCCTTCAAGCGAAGACCAAGAATATATGGGCTTGAGGGCTTAAGGGTGCCATGTAGCGTACGCAGAACCGAAATATGTACTAGTATGGAGTAGCACTCCGTACTTCGTACTCAGTTCAGTACGGTGGCCCTATCTCACTCTCAAAATCTCACTCTCTTTTCGAGAGACTCTCGTCCCAGAAATCTGGAAAGATGAGCGTCATACATTTCTTCTTCAGTGTAGGAAGAGGGGGCCATGCATGATCCTCTTCACCGCTCCTTGTGGAGTCGATGGAGATGCACCTTTTGACAGTTGACAGTGACAGTGACAGTGACAGTTTGCCCGAATCCAATTAGTCTGCTACAGTGGGACAAGTCGTACAATGCCGTCTCCCTACATGATCTTATTTTGATTGTGACTTAGGGGGGACTCGAGTACTCGAGTGCCTCGTATAATACCCAGCCCCTGCGTATCCTGTATGGTAATATACAGGATAGTGGTATTGGTGGTATTAATACAGTACTATCTGTACGTACTGTGACTGGAATTGTGAGTCGAGATGTACCTCTGATACCCTTCATGCGTGTCGCTTTGCTTTAACTCTCTCGCTTCTGCTCTTTTCTCCTTCCCCGTCTTCCATTTCACCCAAACTGATCTACAACCTACACCGTCTATTACGCTTTCGCCCCATCACCTTTGATCATTATAACCCTGCTATCGCATCACCCCTTCCCCCACTCTCCCCCAAATTCCCCGTGTTTCTTCGACTCCGCCTTCGCCCTCCTAACGACGAAACGACGCCACGTAAAAAATAACAAAGCAACTTCCCCAGCAGAGAGAACCGCTAGCCCCTCGTCAATCACCCAAGAGAATATTCCGACCCCTCTTCTCCACCCCGAGAAGCCCATCGGATAACTCTTTGCGATCCGTTGGGCCTCTGTCGAACCTCCTGGACTGAGAGGAGTTTCCCCGTCCCGATATAGCCATGGCTTCATCCATGGATGCGCTGGGTGCCTTCTCCCACCTCGAAACAAACCTCCCAACTTGGATCGCTCGAGTTTCACAACTGGCCGACCACGCCGCTGCCAGACACGCAGAATACTCAGAGGCCTATCGCCGCCACACATTCTACAAGCCTAAATCTCGCCGCCGAAAGAATAGCTCCGTTGTCTCCATCCACACCGACAACTTCGTCCCGCTCGCCCAAAGAGATGAACCCAAAGCCGAAGAAGCCGTAGAGCAGACAGAAAAGCCTGCAGAGACAGTGACGGAAACAGAGACAAGACCTCAGACTCGAGACACTCCCACCCCAAACCAACAGGCCGGTCGCAAACGCGGCACCGACGAAGCCCCCTCCATCGACTCCGGAGACCGATACACCTTCGTCAGCACGCGCCACAACGTGATTATCGAATACGACGGCCATACCCAAAAAGCACTCGATGAGATCGTCAAGGACATCGGTATTGCTAGGAACAACATCCGACGCGGGAAAATGGGAATAATGTCGCGAGGGGGCCTACGCGCGGGCCTCCTCAACCGCTCCGCAGCACTCACAGGCAATGCGGTCGGGGGTGAGCCATCGGCACTGGCCTCGCTAGCCTGTGTCCGCAGCACCCGCACCGGCGCCGGCCTAGTCGGCGTGACAGGATCGACCTCCGGAATCCGCAAAGAGTCGCCATTCGATTATACCGACAAACAACTGGAAGTAGCGCACGGGCTCTGCGAAACAGCCGCGTACCAGGTCCTGCGATCAGGTGATTGCGGAACCGAACTCGACGGCGTGGAGGAGAAGTTCAAGATGCTTTTGGAAATGGTCGGGAAGGAAGTTGAGCGACTGAAGGAAGAGAAACAGAAACAGGAGGAAGAACAGGCCAAATCGCCACCTGGTGACTCGACTGAAGAAGCCGACTCGAAACCACCCCCCAACCCGGCCGCCGCCCGTCTTGCGAGAATCGCTGCTATCACGGCCTCCGCGAAAAAGCCCACCTCGGAATCTCCCGGTATGATCGAAGTCGACGATACTTCTTCCATATCGGCCGAGTCCATTGACCTGTCTGCATTCCGATCATCGCGTATACGGGTGTAAGTGTGAATGGGTCTGGAACGACCGCTGCGGTGATTTCCTTTCTCTGAGGCCGCTCTCGGTCACCTCTTAGCGATTTAGCGTGTGTGAAGCCATTTTTTCCTGCAAGACAAAAAAGCATTACCGCAGGTTGATACCATGGTAATTTTCAACTTTCGACTTTCAACTTCTCCAAAGATCACGTCTTCTTATCTTGGTCTTTTGCACATTGATTTCAGCCTTTAACTTATGGCACTTGGGTGAATTCGCCCTATACTATACCAATCCGTCTCTCTTTGACTCCTACTTCACTCCGACATTCATTTTTCATTCATTGATGCTTTGATCCATTGTTCTTCTTCTTTTGGGGGCATTTTCTTTACTTGATACCGGGCTCAATTTCTTTTCATCTCCTGCCTATCATTCTGCATTGGTTCATAAGTGCCTCATTTTGCCCGGACAAGCATGGCGTCGGCAACGGTAACGGCGTTTCGATCTTTAATTATGTTTTACCTTATTCTTCATGTCTTTACCTGGATACGCTCTTGTCGTATCTTTCATCTTGGACATCTCTCGACGCGGGTCTGTTTCCTAGCAAACCCTGTCCAGTATCTACACTGTCTATATTGGGAAATTCAAGTTCCATTCCAAAAGATCTTTCCCCTCCAGATTGCGTCCAGCACGTCTCTGTAGAGGCTCATGCATCCCCCGCACGGAAGGAAAATGAAAAAAAAAAAGGACAACGCAGACAGGATGCGAATCAGACCCGCCTCTTTCTCTCTCGTCATCATGTACAGTACAATATTATACTATAGTTTACGTTTCAACCCCCCATCATGGAAATGAATGGAAGAATATCTGTTTTCATTGGTGCCTTTGTCCCTCGGCTACGGTACCGACTTGATTACTTCTCGCCTCTCCAGTAGGTGTGGACCTGGTCTGCGCTTCTGCACGACCGTTGTTACCGTCTCCGTCACGGCCAGTATGTCATGATTTGCCCGGGCTTGCAACTCGAGTGGACCAACGCTCATGGGATGGTCCATGCAAAGTAGGCTGCGGGGTGGGTAAAGGTAAATACTACAATTACAAAGTGGTTAGGACTTATCAGGATCAGGGATCAGGATCAGGGTCGCGCGGCCTTACTGTGGATTTCGAACTCGGCTCTTCTGAGTACGTCCCGTCCTCTTCTTTCCAAACCCGGGCAATGGTATAACCTAGCTCCCTACCCGGCAAAGATCTGAATGTCCCATCCCCAGGTCGTGCCAGTGTATCTTTAACATGCACAGGACGAATAAACTCCGCTCCGTTGTTTGAGAATGCTTGCCAGGGGCTTATTGTTATATTCGTCTTGCTCACTACGACGCCCTGTCCAAGGTGAAACAGAACTTCTGCCCGAGGATGTCGTAGACCTGTATCCTTCAGAAGCAAAAATACCTAGAAATGGTAGCGATGTATGTATGGACGTGTCTCTGCGCCCGCTGTGCATCACGCGGGAGGAGGTGGAGTTGATGGGTCTCCATAGTGTACTCCGTACGTGAGGACTGCATTGACTAGCGAGCGGGTCCAACGAGGCAACAAAAGGAAGGAAGAAAGAAAGAACTTGATGAAGAAGGATTTGGGCTGTGGCCGGACGGAGCGCGGTGCGCCCAGGGTTCGTCCGGTTTAGTTTAGTTTAATCCCAGGTTTGATTTTTCCCTGCACCCCTTGTCGCGCTTGTCGACGCTTGTTGACGCTTGCAAGAAACAGTATATGGGGGCCTGGACAAGTGGGTACGGAGTACTAGTACTAGTAGTGAACTTGAACACAGTGAACTGGTTATACGACAGTACTAGTCAGGTAAGTATACTTAATAAACCGGGGGATATTACTCTTATAACAGTCCGGACTCCGTATACTCCGAGTCCGGACTGGCTCACTATGTATAGGGTTAGGGATAAAGGACTTGGAACCTTGGAATTGATATATGAGACTGTCTGTGCAACCCATGGCGTGGCAATTCCCACGAGGCAGCCAGCCTTGGGAGGGCGAGGCGTGTCTATGTATGTAGACACGGTTCGCAGAACCGTTGATCTTATCAGAATGGCAGAAGCAGAGACGGCAAAAGCAAATGCGCGAGGCAGCTGATTTCTTGAACTGATTTCCGACTTGGCCTGTCAGGTTGGACTCGCGAGTACTCCGTACAAGGGTATTGCTTGAAGATTACCTGCATCAGACTGTGCCGGGGTCGAGTAGGTGCATTACTGCATGGAGGAAGAAAGCGCGAGGTCGCTCAAGTTTCGAGTGTACTACAGTATAAACCAAGTGGATAGGGATCCGCGGGCAATGGGTTCTCCTGTGGGTATGAGGAAACAGATCATTCAATACCCAAGCCCTTCTCCACTAGTTAATATAACCATTTCCAAGAGTCAAGGACTGCCAACGAGGACTCTGTACTCTGTGGTGACTGTATAGATACATACATACCCATTAATACAATGTACTGTATGAAAGTAATCAATTTCGGTATATTAACAGGTCCAATACCATTATACTCCGTCCACGGCCTGGCCAATCAAATTCACAGCACGCCCCCCATGAAGCCCCGCGCGCCACTCCCCTGGGATCTCCAACTTTACTATCATTGGCCCGGCATAGTGGATTCGCCATATCCTTCCAGTTTAGGAAGTGCCGGAAACTGATTCCAACCGCGTTGGACAGAAGTACGGAGTACGGAGTGCGCAACAGGGAGGGGTTGTGGACACACACTACATGTGCGGTGCTGCTCATGGCACAATGGGGCCCTGCTTGGGGGCTGACGGAAATTTAACATCACTCCTGTCGCCATTTTACTAGTAGAGAATGCCCCCTTGTGGCTTGTGGAGGGAGAGGTCATGGGATCATGATGGGTTCAAGTCGGCCTTGGAGAGGACAGACCAAGATACTCATACACAGATACTAGTAGAGGGAAGGACAGTAGTAATTTCTGTGTACTTCTGAGAACGAACCAGTGTAAGTAATAACAGCATAGTCCATACAGGCTGTATCGTTCAAGTGTATTACTAGTATGTATCATCGCGCTTTGTTTACCGATGTCAAGGGCAACCGAATGACCCCGGTAAACTGGTTGACTTGGCTAGTGCGCGCCGCGACAGGGGGAGCTCTCTGCGGATGATGGCAGTGGCTTCGGGTTTCTAAATAGCGCCGGCGTCCACTTGAGTCGCGGGCAAGGCACCAACAGCTCCAAGGTCTAGGGCTAGAACGGGCTTTCCTCGATAAGATCTTGGCTAGTCCCATCCCATCCCATGTCTGTTTGCCACCTCCGAGATTGCGTGCAGGATTTGGAGGAGGGGCAAGGTGAGGGGAATACAGTAGATCTCCATGTCTGCTCTAAATGAACGATGTGCCAGTGGGTGGGCTGGAATGGGATGGGGTTGATGGCTGTTGACGTGGCAGGAATTGGCGTCTGGTAACACTTGCATTTTGCATTCGGCACGGGATGCGGGTCCATGCAGAATTACTCCTAGTACGGAGTACTACCTCCCATCGACGTGGTGAGGGTCCCTTGGTCAGTGTTTACTGTTACTAGTATCTAGTCATGTACTCCGTATGTACGCATTACAATACATGGATCGAAACCGACTAGGGCTCCTTGAACTTTCGGAGAGCAGAACCTAGTTGTGGCTGGTATCTAACGCGATCGCGCTGAGAGTATCACAACAAAGGTACCACCGAGTAGCCCCGGGAGATCAGGCGATCAGAAGGTTTAAATTCTTCGGACAGCCTTTGATCAGTCATTATTTTTCTTGCCCCCCTTGGAATTCGACTTTAGCTCAAGTTGTTAGGATCGACACTGTCGGCGGCTCTCGCTGCCTCCACTGGCCATCAAGATATTGCAGGTCACGATCATCTTCCAGGCCACATGTATGGCAAATAGAGTTACTAATACGAGAAATAATATGATCAGGAAATATAGTACATTCAATGCCGTAATAAACTCATCTTCATAAATTTACCAAGGGTATATATCAATCCCAATCTCATGGCGACCTCTCAAACATTAAGTGACATGACGCGTATACATCAGCCGCGATTACGAATATGAAATAAGATGAATATAGGAAACAAGAGTCAACCCAAGACCCTCTGACCTGGAAGATGGTATACACCAGGCGGAGAGAAAATGGGGACTGCGGAAAACAAAACAAAACAAAAGTCCCAATCGGGAGTCAACCGAGATCCATCAATATTCCAATGTCCTGAAATTCAAGGGCCACGGGCAAAATAGATTTAGTCAACCGGGTATCAAAGTAGGACCAAAGTCAAAACCTGGAAAGTAACTGCAGTTTTACATATCGATTATCTGGGAACAAGAAATCGCGTGCGGCAGACAGAGGCCACGACACGGGCAAATTGTTTACCAGGCAATCTTCTCCTCGTAGACGGGGGGGCTGGCCCTTGTCCATGTCCCAAGTGATCTTGGCATTCTCGTCCACAAACGCATCCTCGTCCGTGATGGGGATGACGCGAGAGGAGTGGGCAACCTCCTGACGACTGATGCCGAGAGGGTCACGGGGAATCCAGAGAAGAGGAGCCTGGGCGTTGATGGCAGGGTTGAAGTATGCGTTGCGTTCGACCTCCTCGGGGTAAGGAGCGACATCGAGCGGGTTGGGGACCAGACGGCGCAGGGTGGCGTAGTCGGCGTGGATATCCGGGCGCAGGAACTTGGTGAAGAAGTTGGCCTTCGGCTTCGCTTCCGAGGCCTCGGTGTGGCCAAGACCCTTCTCCGCCTCGGCGGAGTCGACAGCCGCAACGCCGCTGTCAACGTTGCTGACACCATTGTCGGTAGCTGAGACACCGTTGTTCACACCGTTGGAGTGCGACTCGGAGCTGAGTTTGGTGCGCTCCCCGGCCAGGAGGGACTCCTCCTCATGCTCCATGTTCTTGGGCAGGTAGTTCAGCAGAGGCTCCATGGCGCTGTTCATCGACATGTGGTACAGGACGACGAAGACAAGGAGAATGATCATCAGGGCCAGAGGGCCAACGGCAATCTGGTTAGCTCCAGAGGCCATGGCGAACAGACCAATCAAACACACGATAAGCAGGTAAACACCGACAGTCAGGTGCTGCAGGGCACGAGTGTAGGCGCGACCCTGAGTATCAATATCGGCGTTCGAGACGTACAGCAGGTTGTAGCGGTAGGCGAAGTAGAACAGATACAGACCGATGGTGGCAAAACCCATGACAAGAGGAGCAATGCAAGAGTAGATGATACCTGGATGATGAATTAGCGACAATGTTTGGTGAAATTTCAAGATAGACATCACAAACCGATAACAGTCAGCAGAGTGAAGATAGGGTAAACAGTGCCCCATCCGAGACCGGCCAGGGTCGACCAGCGCTTGTACATCTTGCGGGGGGTGTTATCCAGGAACTTGCCCAGAAGCTTGCCAACAATCAGGCCGGCAATCTGGAGAAGAGCACCAGCACTGAAGGACAAGCCCTGCAGGATGATGTAGGAAATGTAAAAGTTGGAGGCTTTGGGGATGTTGGTGGCGAGCAGGCTGGCGGCGCTGGAAGGATCGCTGATAATAGAGGTAACGACACTGGTGGCAGCAGATGCCAGAGTAACCACCAGGAACACCTGAACAACCTGGAAAGCAAAGAAGTAGTTCTGGGTAGTGAGTTCAATGGAAGCCCGGCTGGGGTCACCGCCCCACTTAGCGCAGACTATTAAATTCGGTCAATATGCAATCAAAAAAGAATGGTCGCAGGGATACGTACGTCGCATAATGATAGGCACCAGCGCCATGAGAACCGCCATCAAAATTGAGGGCAGCAGACCGGTAATAACACCAAGAATGACGGGAGGGCACTTGAGAATAAACTTCAGGAAAGGAACCATATCAGTCAAGCTGTTGATGTTAGAGATAGCACCAACAACTGCCGTCGGGATGGCCCAGAAGATGATGAGAGCGACGACGAATGCAAGAGTAGCACCGTGTCGGATTACGCGCTCCCACCACTTAATGCGAAGGTTGCTCCAGATGACCTGGGTCGGGTCCAAACCAATGTAACGGGGGGGCCATGTGCAGAGGCAGATTGTGCGCAACGGACTGGTAGGCAGACTGAGCATCGGCCTGCTTGTAGAATTCAACGAAGACGGAGGAAACAAGCTTGGCGTCACCGGCACGGTGCTTCGCCTGGAGCTCTTCGATTTCGGGACTGAGGCGCTCGATCTCGGAACGGGCCCAGTTAATGGTGTCGACTTTCTTGCCAATGAGCATCTTGAGACGGTGAGTCGGGCGGTCCTTGGCTTGCACCCAACGAGCAGCGACAGAGCCAGATTCGTCGTCAAACTGGCCGAGATCAGTGTTCTCCTCGGAACCTTCTTCCGCGGAGCCCTTCTTCTTCAGTGCCTTGTTGCGCGCCTTGTTGGCCATGATGATAAGCTTGGTCTCGGCGCCCTCCAGCTTCATGGCGGCCGCGTCACGGTCCTTGACCTTCTCCTCGAGCTCGGCAGTGTCGGTAGCAACCCAAACGTTCTTGACTTTATCAATGCCAAACATGGCACGAATCTTGTCGGTGTTGAGATAGTTCTCGCTGACGGCGCTGAAAAGAACGGTGCGCGAAGAAATACGGTTGGCATAGGCGGGCGAGAAAGAGTATGCCTGGCGCAGGTTGATGTAGAAAATGTGTTCCCGTGTGATAAGGAAGAAAATGAAACCTGATCGCAAGTCAATGGTGTGTTCAAGGGGTCGCGGCAAATACACATACCAACAAAGATCCACGCAAGCAGGGCGTGGGCAAAGTAACGGCCATAGCTCTTATCCGAGACGTTGGAGAAAGTGAGGACATCCAACTGTTTATTGCCATTGCCTCCGGTGGCATTGACCGGGAACAGGATGGGCCAGGTGATACAGCAGCCGACGAACATGATGGTAGTGGCTAGCTTGAGGAATCGTAGCAGAAGGTAGGCATCCATGGAGTGATGTTGGAGAACGTATGTGTCGGGAAGCTGGTACATGGCGGTGATCCAGCTCCACAGGCCGGTGGGGGATTCTGGGGTGCGCTGCCATGGCTTGAGATAGCCGATGTAGGTACGGGGCATATACTGTCGACGCTGGCTCTTTCGCAGAATGATAAAGACGATGACCATCACGGAGAAGATCACGATGTTAACGACCAAGGTTGACACGAAACCCGACAGGGAATTCGAGGTGGCTTGGGGGTCATCCTAAGGCAAATTAGCACAAGTCGTCGCGTCTTAAACTATGCGCAACCACGTACAGCACGGCTGAACAGCCGGTGCATGGCGCCGATGTCTGCCATGGTCAAGGATAACCGAGTCGAAGTCGAAGAAGTCGAATTCGGGATACCTGAGGGGTTTGCACGTGTGTTTGTCGAAGGGGCACGATGTAGCCCCGATGAGGATGGATGGAGGAGAGAAGAAGGAGAGGAAGGAGAGAAAACAGAAAGGTAGGGCGGGTTTAAGCTTTACGCTTTACAAAGAGAGGGGCATTTTCAAGAGTGTTGCGATCTGCGATCTTGGGCTACGTAATGGGACCATCTCTTTTTTTCCTTTTTTTTCTGTGTATTTTTTTTCTTCCTTCACAGGGGGGGGTCGCAGAGAGCTCTTCCTAAGGTTGCCAATGAGTAAATAGCGTCTCCTTTACCCCCTGTCGGGTATCCACTTAGACGGCGAGTGAGAGATCGATCCAGACTTACACCGTCACTGGCTTCGTCCGATGATCGTCCAGTTCCTTGGATACCTCGGTGCCTCTGGGAATCGATGACTCTATGAGATACTTGTTGTATTCCAGCGTTGTGTTGAAACTACGGAGTACTCCGTATGTACTCCATACAATCTGACAGATCGCCTTTGCACCCGTTATTCGTTTCACACATCGGATATTTTTGCTCGGCAAGGGAGAGAAAAACAAAACCGATTCGGAAAAGACCGCCACCCAGCCACGTCAAGCCACAGCATGTGTCGCAAACAAATTAAATCCCCAGTCATACGAGCTCTGGGCAAGCAACTCGAAACAGGTCTGGCTTGCCGATCTCCTCAATTAAAGGAATATTTGAAAAAGCACTAGCATTTGTACTTCATCATCTCGTTTGGTTCGGAATTCTTCAGGCTGCTGTGACAGGGGAGCGACATCCAGTCACACATGGAAATTGCGGGAATCCAGGGGTTGTTGTCCACTAAAGAGATTCGTGGGGAAGTAATTACCGAAGTGACTCGGAGACCTTGGAGCTGGAGCTTTAGCGGTGTGTTGATCTCGGGATTGGAGAGTTGAAAGTTGAAAGTTCTGATGATATGCGACAAGGAATATCACAACCCATTCAGCCCCCATTCAGCATCATTAGGATCGCCAGCAGGGGCGCGAATTGATGTGAGCTGAAATCATTTGCTGAGCTGGTTCCAATCGATCGACCCAGAGGCGCAAAAGGCGCTAGTGGTAGCTAGTGGGCTGCGCTATTGCCTAGCATCTACGTAGCTACCCATGGGCCTGCGCTTTGACTATCAAAATTTGCGTAGGGTTGTCCACAATGGATGCGAACCAACGCACCCGATAAGTGTTTTTTTTTCCTCTTTCGCTGAGTGCTCCATACTCCGTACGGTCATATCTTCTCGCTTTGAAATGCCATCGAATTTCCCTTGACGCACCCCGGATTGAATTGCATTTCAGGCTTGCTGTCACAGGGCCCCTTGGAATGTGGGCAACCACGGACCACTCGAAGGGATAATATGCTATCGTCATCGTTGATGGGACATGTGCATAGCGATCGACACTCCCATTACTGAGATAGTCGCATGAATGCGATCTCGTTCCTGGGTAACTTCATGTACCTTTCGCGGGAGCTTTCTGTGGGAAGTGACCTCGGAGAACCTTTTTTCGGGACTCCGCTTCGATCCCCACCGCACACTGCATTCAGCATGAACCGCGATCGACATGGACAGGTCATTCATTTTGTTTCTGATATCAAATTCAACCGTGGTAAGAGCCGAGGCTGCCCTGGGTAGTCCGTAGTCCGGTAGGTTACCCCCACTGGGGCTCACGGTGGATGACGCTTACACTTCTCGTCCTGGTTGTCGGGTCCCGCCAAGCCCACGTTGCTCGTGCCTGTTCTGATCGCAACGACGCTTTCATACAATTCAATCAACTCCTCAACAATTCTCCGTAAAATGACAGGAAGTCACCAGTGTGATATTTTTAGAAAACGGAATCAAACTCCGGATATGCATATATATAGTATTCGAGATAATGTCATCATTTCTTCATTGATTGAGCCCTACTACCAGAGTCCGCCCTTGTTGAGATCCTTCTCGAAGATGTCGATGCCGCGGATGGGTGCCCGTAAGGTCAAAAAGCTCATCAAGATTTCGTTGAAGTGGAATTGTTGGTCCGGTCGCAGCTGTTTGTGTGTTGCTAGCAACTCTCCAGCCGACCATGCCCGCTCGGGGGCCTGCAGATCGGGATCGCAGCCTTGCTCAAGTAGTAGCCAAAGCAGCGTTTCGCAGGCGTGCTGTCGATCGAGCTGGTGTTGCTCAACCGTCGTACATAAGTATCGCATGAAGCGACCACATTTGTTGGCCGAATCCTTAAAGTCCCAAAGCGCAGCGGTGATGTAGATTAATGCTGCCGTCCGACTGATTTCTTGTGTTTGCGCATCACGGACCACGTACATCCGGGCAGCTTGCGGGACCTGGGATGGTCGTGGTCCACTAGACAACAGGGAGAATAGCGGACTCTCCATTTCAAACGCATCGCGTCTTTGCGGCGTGTGGGTTAGGTAGTCTGGGGAACTGTGTCTCTGCATGAGGCTTTGTGCTCCCCACAAAAACGAGACCAGCCATTTAAGGTCTGCTGGGTCGACCTCTGTGTTTTCGGGTAACATAATAAACCGAACATAGTGGAGAAAGACTTCCACGGATGGGTTGAATCCAGGACGCGGTCGCATCAGGTTGAGGGCCTGCTCAAGATAACGCCGAGCCTCTAATTTATCGCCGAATCGCTCCTCTCCAAGTGCCATTCCAGATAGAGCCATGGCCAGTTGATCGGGAGGAACCTGCGTAATACCCCTGGTGGCATCATCGATGTTCTTTCGCGACTGTCCAACATGCCGAATGACTTCTGGGCTGTCTGTGACTCCATATATTTGAGCTTTCCACCGAGCGCAATAGGTTAGGATAACAGCTTGGAAGGTGACGGGATGGTCCATGGCTGTTCGGAAGATCTGGTTTTTGACGTAAGGGTTCTGGCCGGACCAATATGTCAATTTAGTCGTCCAGTAGTCCACCAGTTCAAGATTCTCGGGATCGTGGGCGATCGGTAGGCTAGAGAATGGATCTTTTCGGGATGCATCAAGCATCGTCCTTGGTGATCCTAGCTGCAAGGACACGGCTGACTGGGGAGCCGGGTTCACATTTGAAAACCTGATTCGCAACTGTGCATTCGGATCAATGTAAGTATATGTTTTGATAAGTATCATATCTGCCTGCCTGCCAAGATTGATACAGAAATAGTCGATGAAGTGGGCATCGAGGTTGGGTTTGGTATCCATACCGAGGAATTTGGATCAGGCGGATGGCCCTGGGTACCAGTCACTGCCGGTTCTATCGGAGGGTCCGTTTCATATTCCAAGTCTTTCTTCGGCTGCCATGATAATGCGTCCTGAATCTGTTCAGGTTGTAGGGATTCGTGTGATAATTTGCGCTGCTTTCGCTTTTCTTGAACATGGTGTCGCATCACATGAGCGCGTTTCTCCTTCGATGATGAAGATGAGTCAACAAAGTAGAATTGGTTCTTCGGCTGAGCCCCCGAGTCAGCCGGACGCCGTCGTCGTCTCGGTTTGCCGGGCTGAGCCGTATCTCCGGATTGCCCTAAAGAAGGTGGGAATGCACATTAGCAACGCGGGATCATAACGATACAGTCAAGAGGATTGACCTACTGGAAGCATCCAGGGACGGAGGTTCAGACGATACAGGGGCTACAAAAGTCGATGTGGAGTCATCCAAACTTGAAGTTTTGCCGGACATTTCGTGATAAAGAATAGGAAGTGGTTGTCGACGTCAAGAGGCACCCGTTACAGCATGCCGTGTCGATGATCGCCAATACCGAAATTCCTCCAGCTTGTTCGGGATTTGGTGGGAAGCATCGCAGGCTCCCTCGAGGGGGCGACCTGGGTGAAAAAAGGGCGGGACGGGTTCAGCAAACGGTCGGAGCGTAGGAGAGCGAGACTAGAGCCGGATGCCGGTGGATAGTATAAGTTATAGTCGGATTCGACAATGCAAGGTAACCGAGGGAAGCCGATCACCACGAATAATAAAAGGTTAGGGGGGGAGATGGGAGGCGATGAGAGGAGAGAGGGGGGGGGATGTCCAGTTCTGGTAACACGAGGTCAACGAGCAACACGAACTGGGGCCTTAGAGAGTGGTGCACCTCCAATGACCGAGTTGGGTTAGAGGGGAGATTTGACTATTTCCTGATGTAGGTTGTCGGCGGGGAGTGGAAGGAAGTGGGTCATGGAATATGTAACACCCTGCAAAAAAGGGGAGAGGTGAAAATGAGCAAGAAGAATGATTGGTTGGAAGGCGGAGAGAAGCAAGTCAGAATGGGCAGTTAATCCATCTGATTGGTTGACTTCTCGAAAAGGGCGGTCTTGAACCGGTATTTCCTCGGGAAGGTGCGAAGGGGGGCTGCATCTGCACGGAGTAGCGGCAACTGCAGAGAAGGCGTCCCGGACGAGTGGACTGTGGACTCGGTGGCCTTGGCATTCGGATTTGGTGGTGGTTCAAGTTGGCATTGGTGGCTTCCCGATTGCCCCCTCCCGATTAGGAAACCACTTAACGCGTTCGGACTAACCTTATTCCATCAACGCGTCCAAGTCGCGTCTCGCGTCACCGAAAAAGTCCCCCTTAGTGCCCGTGTTCAAAGACTGAAGGGTCGAAAGTTGTCGAGCATCACCGCTTCCCCTCCTCCTCCAATACCTCCATTCTCCCCCCCCCCCTCCCCCCCCAATCCTCCCCCACTTCGGTATCTGCGCAAGAGCATTAATTCGTCACTGCTCTCTGCCATGTCTTCCCTTTTCGACGCCGTCCTCCAGTCCGAGCTGGGCTCGGGGTCAGGCGCTCGCGAGAATCTGCAGTCCGACCATCTACCTAGCTCACGACGCTCCGAAAGCAATGGTCCCATGAGTGATATGAATGCCTTCCCTGATGATCGCGTCGTTGGAGCCAGTACTTCTGCCGTCAGTCGTTTACGAAACCCATACGCTTCGGGCCCCCCGCCCGTGGTTGATGAGGCCGGAGAAAAAGTGCAACA